CGAAATCTATTTTCCTGTAAAATACGCTATTGTTTTGCCTACGAAATACAGTTATAAATTTTAAGAACAGAGAGAAGCTAGAAAAAACACTTTGCACATCTAAAATTACAAGATAAAAAATTGAGATGATGCTTAAAATTTCTAAATTATTGAGCTATTACTTAAAATTGAGATATTATTTCATGATCGTGTCTTCTAATTTATTCTCGTAATAGAAATTGTGCGATTAAATGCATTACATTCGAGATTTTCGATCGTGGCAATACACAATATATATGTATCATATTATATATATAGTAAATAGCATATGTGGCCGACATTATTTGGTAAGACAACCTCGCACTCCGCTTTCTCTTCTTTTCCCCCGAGCCACACATTACATCGTCACGACGTTTAATTAATGTTGGCATAACGGATAGGCAGACGAGAAATACACTGTGACTTCTGTAGAAGATCCTGTGTAAGCACAGAGAATGATATTTATGCTACTTCTTGCATAACTTATGCAATTATCGAATGCGATGCTGTTACATAAATACTTCATTATTCGTAATAAAATCTCGCACGAACATATATATGTTGCATACATTAATAAATTTATCATTTTTCACGGTTCGGAATAAAGTTATTAAAGTCTTTTTTCTCCCGCCAGACAGACGGCCAAAACATTCTTAAATTATAGTTAACAAAAATTTATTATTCCGTATATTGCCACAGGATACGTGAAATCAGATTACAGCGGGGATACCTTCGCACCAAGACAAAGAAAAAAAAATTTGTAAATTACACAAACGCAATTACACATTTAAATAATCATAGATGATGGATGATGCTTTGAATTTCGAAACGAAATTTACAAAACTTCTACGCGTGTTATTCTTTACGAGTTACCTGTACCGCGCTCCTTCTCTCGGCATTGGTGCGATCTAACTTCTCGTCTTGCAGCAAATTTCAATAAAACAATGAGCGCAACACGTTTAGCCATAGATTATTATTACCGGTAGAAACGCATATCGATGAAATGATAGCAAGAATTATTGCACGTCGAATCACGATGCGGAGGCGAGATTGCAGCGGGGGTATATTTAGAAAAAAATACAATTACAGCGCGATAATAAAGTGATGTATGACCCGTTCGAGCGAGATGCACGAAGGCTAAGGGGGTGAAAACCTTCGCGTTACCTCGCACCACCGAAGTTTCCAATCTATAAGGTATCAACGGTTGCCTTTAGCTGCTGCGCATTGTATACCCCCGGGACTTGCGATTTAGAATGTTGATATAACGGATGGGTGAGCAAGAAAAGCGCTTTTGCGAGACGTGCGAGATTGAAAAGGAATAAAAAAAGGAAGCTTTCATGACTCTTGTATCGAATTTCAACCTCTACGTTCCGGCGTATTTATACCGCCTCTGTGTACGCTTCATTATGTACATTCAAATGGTAAATTTCTCCGCCATCGGGGAGAATTTTTCGAGAGTCCTGGCGTAAATCTAATCTGTCGAGCGGTGTTGAGCGATCTGAAAAAGGGTACTCGAAGCAGTCAGATTTCAAAATGAAATTCTGTGTACACGAAAGCAGACGGAAAAAGACTTCAGAGACTCTCGTGTCGACAATTTGAGATATAAGAATATTGCGTCTTTCACAATTTTTTTCATAGAACGCGTTTTTTCCAGCGGGCGGTCTCGTGATCCAGTATAATCGTTAGAGAATGATCTTGGCCACGGGGATGAAACGCGGCAGAGGCGTCGCTTGGTCAAACTTCCGAATCTCGCGGCGCGGCACGGCGCGGAGCGGAAGTGGACGAACGACTCGTCCTTTCCTGTGCGCGCGCGCGCGCGTGTACCGCCATATACCTTCAGGAGTCGCGATTCGGAATGTTGATATAACGGATGGGTGAACAAGAAAAGCATCGCGGCGGGCTCTCTTATTCTTTCTCTCTCGCTCCTTCCCTCGCCTCTTCCTCTTCGCTCGCTCGCTCGCTCGCTCGCGCTCCTCTCTCGGCCATTCGTATCCGGCAAAAAAGCACCGGCGCCGGTACATTGAACCCGGCAAGAGTTCCGCCACACGTTCGCGAGGCCGTTTCAGTATTTGACTGTTCCCCAACGCCGTGCAACGGCGGCTACGGCGGCGGCTCTCCTCCTCTCCTCCGCTTTCTTGGTTCGACTCCCGTCGAGACGACAGAACGCCATAAGCAACCAATTTAAATGTAAATTGAAAACCACCGCGGCATACAAATTGTTCGACTCGCCGTCAAAAAATACTGCGAGCAAAGATCAAACGGAAGACAAGACACGCGGGCGAGAGGGTGGCGTATATGGGGCCGATGGTCGAGATAGAACGAGAAAAGGTGCCCCGGAGAAGGGCACCTCTCGAACGACGTCGGTGAAGTCCCGACCTTCTCCACCGCGCACTGGGCTCTGGCTCGGGTTGTATCCCCTTTTCTTTCTGTTACGGCAGAAAAGCTTCCCGTCGGTGTTTGTTCCACCC